TTACAATTTTATTAGAATTTTAAAGAAAAATCCTCAGGGCAGATGAATTGGTAATCTTGGCAGCTGCCCTGAGGTGGAGGATGGTTGGGAGAAGGAAAGAAAGCCATGAAACCATGCAGGTTTACAGCCCACATGGGGGTTAGACACATGGCTGGCTAGCAGCCACATGGCCGGGGGAAGGAAGCTTTAGAGAAAGTAAAGAAATACAAGATGCTAGGGGCAGCCCAAAGCCTTAAACAAAGAATGTTTAAAAAAAGAAGTATGGAGAAAAAAAGGAAAGATTACGCTTTTCTGAAGAATTCAGAAAAGTGGACACACTTACAGAGACCTACATGACTGTGGCTGGTCCAGAAGTTCTGTGCTAGGAGGCAGGATTCCAGGCAGAAAAACTTCACTATCTCAATGCACTGCCCATCTATTTAGCAAAACTTAAGGTGAGCCTGCCTTCCTAGGGGTGGTCCTAGGACCAGATGATTCACCAGTGAAACTGGAAAGGGTTTTTTTTTTTTTTTTTTTTTTTTAACAGAGTAGATTTTACAGTCTTAACCAGTTAAACGTACACAAAATGGAGGCGCTCAGGCTATTACACTCCCCACTGACTCTGGGACGTGAGTCAAATCATTGACTTGTTCTGATTTTGTGGCTCATATGGCAGCTAACAACCATCCTTAATGCCAGTTCCAAGGGATCCAATGCCGTCTTCTGGCTTCCATGGGCAGTGCATGCATGTGGTGCACTTACATACACATAGGCAAAACACTGGTATACATAAAATTTTTAAAAATGAAAACAAAAACAAAAAGAGGAATGTCAATGGCCAAGAGAAGCAAATAGAAGCAAATATCATTCTCAGCACCCCTACATATAAGCAATCTGTGTTAAACTAGAAACCACTGGCAACAAGGTAAAAGAATTTGTCCAATTTAAAAACCAAATCAGAAAAAGAAAATCTCACAAAGTATAAAACATCAGACACATGAATTAAATACACTAGTTACAAGCAAAGTCAGTGTCCTCACCCTGCCACAACACCCTCCTTAAAACGGTAAGACTGGCTAGGCTTCGTATTTTGATCCCAGCACTCAGAAGGCAAAGGCAGATGGAGCTCTGTGAGATTTTGGCCAGCCTGGTCTACATAGCGAGTTCCAGGCCAGGGGGGGGCTATCTGGAGACCCTGTCTGAAAACAAACAAGCCAACAGACAGACAGATGAAAAACAGTAAGATGGAAAAGGCAACAGCAGGAACATGCCTCTGTCATTATGCTCTCATTATGTAGAAAATTTGATGAACTTACTCCCTCTGAGCAAACAGACCAGAGAAAGACATTCAAATGCTTAATGTTTGAAGAGTATGTCTGTAACAGATGACCACTGGAAAACTGCCAAGTTAGGGGAAATTTGAACAAAGGTTAGATCAATCCAAACCTAAAAGCAATAAACAACAAGAAATAATAAAGGTTCAGGGCAGAAATTAATAAAACAGAGACTAAAAGAACATTCGTTCTTTGAGCAGGGCGTGGTGGCACATGCCTTTAGTACCAATACTTGGGAAGTAGAGGCAGGCAGATCTCTGTGAGTTCCAGGCCAGCCTGGTCTACATTGTGAGTTCCAGGCCAGCCTGGTCTACATAGTGAGTTCCAGGCCAACTGGAGTTACAGGGAGACCCTGTTTCAAAAAAAGAATTAGTTCTTTGAAAAAAATGAACAAGATTAACAAATTTGAGATGAAAAGAGGGAGGATACTACAAATTCCAATAAAATATAGAGAGAAGCATTAGGGAGTATTATGAAATGAAAACCTTTACTCCTTAAGCTTGGAAAACAAAAAGATTCCTAGATACATGTGACCCATCAAAATTAAATAAAGACAGAAACGACTTAAACAGATCTATGCCTATCAGTGAGACTGAAGCACCAATAAAAAGCCTCCAAACAAAGAAAAATCTAGGACCAGATGAATTCACTGCTGATCACTACCAAACCCTTAGAAAAGAACTTAACACCAATGTTTCCCAAACTAGTCCATAAACTAGGAAAAGAAGGAACACCACAAAACTGATTAACTACCCTGAAACCCAAACTGGGTAAGGCCACAGCAAAGAAGGAAAACTATACACCAATTTCCCTTCTGAACATAGATGCAATTTTTCTAAATAAGAATCAATTCAAGAATATAACAAGAAAGTTATACACCATGACCTAAGTTAGTTTCATTCCAGGGATGCAAAGTAGTCAAAAGTGTAATCCAGCACATGAACAGACTTAAGCAGAGAAATTACATGATCACCTCAATCTATTCAGAAAAGGCCTTTGACAAAGTACAACAATCCCTTCATGATAAAAGGGTAAAAAAACTAAGAACAGAATGAGCATACTGTTATATGACAAACCTATAGACAACATTATATTAAATGGGGAAAAATGAGAGCATTTCCTCTAAAAACTGGGATGAAAAGTTGGTAGCCACTCTCTACTATTATTAATATATAGGGCTTGAAGCTTTAGCTAGAATAGACGAGCAAAAGAAATAAAAGGGATACAAACAGGGAAAGAACAAGCAAAACTATTCCCATTTGCAGACAGTATGATCCTACACTTAAAAGACCCTAAAGACGCCACCAGAAATCTTTAGGCTTGATAAACACTTTCAGCAAAGTAGCAGGATAGGATACATAATAAATATATACAGAGATTGATACACACACACACACACACACACACACACACACACACACACACACCTTGCCAATAAAGAAATCGGGAGGCAAAAATCCATCCACAATGGTTTTAAAGTAAACAAAACAACAAGAATTATCTAGGAATAAACCTAACCAAGGAGACAAAAAACCTCCACAATGAAAACTTATATGACACTGAAGAAAGAAACTTAAGACAATAGAATGGAAAGACTCCTAGCCTCATGAATAGGCAGAATTGGTGTTGTAAAGATAGCTATGTTACTGAAAGAAGTCTATTAGTTCAATGCAACCTACATCAAAATCCCAGTGACATTATTTACAGAACTAGCAAAAACAATCCTAAACTACATATGGAAACACAAAAGGCCCTTAACAGCTAAAGCAATTTTTAGTAGGAAAAGCAACAGAGGAATTGCAATACCTGATTTCACATTGTATTACAGAGCCATAGCTAAACAGTATGGTACTGGCAGAAAAAAAAAAGACATGTAGATCAATGGAACAGAAGACCCAGAAATAAACCCACAATTACATCCAACTAATTTTGACAAAGGTGTCAAAAACATACACTGAAGAAAAGGCAGCCTCTTTAACAAAGAGTTCTGGGAATACTGGATTTCCACATGTAGAAGAATGAAACTAGATTCATCTCTCTTACCTTGAACAAAAATTAACTCAAAATATACCAAATATCTTAATGTAAGACCTGAAATTTTGAAGGCATTTCAAGATACAGGCATAGGCAAAACTTTTCTGAAAAGTACTGCAAATGATCCCAAGAACTGACAAACAGGATTACATGAAATTAAGAAGCTTCTGTAATAGCAAAACAATTATCAGAATGAAGAGATGAGCTACAGAATGGGGAAAAATGTAGCTAACTACACATCAGACGAGGAATATCCAGGATGTATGAAGAACTTCAAAAGTTAAACACACACACACACACAGAGTGCACAAATCTTCCAATTAATAAATAAGCCCATGAACTGAATAGATAGTTCTCAAAAGAATAAATCCAAATAGCCAATATATACTTGAAAAACTGTTCAAAATCCTTAGGGATCACACAAATGCAAATTAAAACTACTTTGAGACTCCATTTCACTCCAGTTAGAATGGTTATGAAGAATACAAATGCTGGTGAGAATACGGGGAGAGGGAAACCCTTATTCACTGCTGATGGGAATCTAAACTTCTGTAACCACTAAGGAAATCAGTATGGCTCAGTAGTTAAAGAGTACTTGATATTCTTGCAGGGGACCTGGATTCGGTTTGCAGCACCTACATGGCAGTTCATAGACGCCTGTAACTCCAGTTGCAGGGGATCTGACACCCTCTTCTGGCCTCTGCAGGCACTGCACACACATGGTATACTTACGTACACACTCGCAAAACATTCAAACATAAAATAAATCTTCAAATAAACTGAAAACAGAATTACCATATGACTCATCTATGCCAGTCTTGGGATACATCCAAAGGATTCTCAGTCAGCAGATCACAGAGACAATAGTGCGGCCATGTTTGTAGCTACCCTATTCACAACAGTCTGGAAATGGTAGCAGCTTCAGTGCCGATGAGCAAATGAATGAATAAAGAAAAATGTGGTACATACACAATGTAATTTTATGCAACATAAAGAAAAATGAAATCATGACATTTTCAGGAAAATGAATGTAAATGGACATTGTTAAGTAAAATAAGCCAGACTCTGAGAGACAAATATTACATTATCTCGCATATGCAGAACTTAAAATTAAAATTCTGTATATGTTTATGAGTGTATTTTCAGGCCATATTAACTAGAAAAGGTATTATGAGAGGGGGAAAAAGAGCTCTTAAGGGACATGGGAACTAGAGAAGATAGCAGAGTACAAGTGATAAGGAAGTAGAGAGGGGACATGGTGGCTAATACGTGTTTATAACTCCAGTTCCAGAGAATCTGATCCCACTTCTGACTCCTGGGCATGACACAACATGGGTGCACTTACACAGACGCAGGCAATACTCTCATACACACAAAATAAAAATATTAAAGATTTTTTTAAAAATACAACTCAGGTCTCACACTGAGATTCTAAAAAAAAAAAAAAGACAACACAGTATGATACATATGTATAAAGATGCATGATGAGACCTATTGTTCTGTGTGCTGACCTAAACAATAATTCTTATAAGTAGCCATAATTTAAAAAATGCAACAGTGCCTCATATGTGGAGTTATATATTCAGATCAGAAGAGGGAAAAAAAAGTATCATTCCATTTATATTTTTTTACATATATAAACCCAAAACTCACTTGATTCTACTGTCATCTGAAGCAAACTATCAATGACATTGGACAGGAGCCCTTTGCTGGATATTCTCAGGTGACCTAGGATTACTGGAACAGCTTGATACTCCAAAAACAAGGTTTTTCCTTCATCTGTCTTCAAGTCCAAACAAAGAGAATCAAATGCTTGAGCCAAGTAATCAGCTGAAAAACAACATGAACAACCATGTGGGTATCAGAAACAAAGGTTAAGAAAAAAATAGCAAGTGCCACCACATTAACAAAATAAAAATACAAACAAAATTTAAATGACAAGAGATCACAAACTAAATTGAAGTTCATTCCTCCTCCCTAGTTTACTAGAACTCAAACAGGAAAATTCAATTAGGAAGGAGTAAATTTCATTTAGACCTTTCATGGTTTAGTACAAAAAAAATAGTAAGCCCCATTTTCCTTTTTATATCAAGAACATTGATTATTGTTAACTAGCACAGTACTATATATTTTCATATTTGATTATCACTACTACATGCTTCCAAAAATTTACACTGCATCAATATTTGTATCCTTACAGTAGTGTCTAACATCACATCTTATTGTTGCTTATTTAAAAACATGACTTTATACAAACTTGCTCAATGAATTTTAAACGAAGACTTCTGCCTCCTACTACAAAGCAGTATTAGGCCATTCAAGGACAATGTCCAAAGACTAGGCTCCGCTCTGCTGGAGCTACATTTTGTAAAACCATGAACATGAAGGGCAGTAAGTTTACAGAGACCAGCACTACTGCAATGGCACTTGTAAATCAGACCCCCTAACCCTCTCTTAAAAATATGACTGGGGGGTGGTGGTGGGGTGGAGTGATTGCTCAGCGATTAAAAGCACTGACTACTCTTGCAGAGGACCTGGGTTCAATTCCCAGCACCCACATGGTGGCTAAAAACCATCCTTAACTCCAGTTCCAGAGGAATCCAAAGCCCTCTTCTGAGGCATTGTACAATGGGTGCACTCACATACATACAGGCAATACACTCATACACATAAAATTAAAAAAAAATTATACACACACACATACACACACACACACACACACATGACTGGGGGTGCTGGAAAGATGGCTCAGCAGTTAAGAACACTGGCTGTTCTTGCAGAAGACCCGGGTTAGAATCCCAGCACCCACATGGCAACTAACAACTGTCCAGAACTCCAGTTCTAAGGGATCCGACAACCTCTTCTGTCCTCCATAGGCATTGTACAATATGGGTACACTTACATACATGCAGGCAATACACACATACATGTAAATAAATAAATAAATAAATAAATAAATAAATAAATAAATAGTTTTTAAAATAGGACTGGGAAGCCTCTGAATCAAGAGTAAGAAGTACTGGGGCTGGAGAGATGGTTCAGCGGTTAAGAGAACTGACTGCTCTTGCAGTACCCGTGTTCAATTCCCAGCACCCACATGGCGGCTACAAACCATCCTTAACTCTAGTTCAGGGGAATCCGAACTAGATACAAGCTACTGTCATTGCTCTTGGTTGCCCACCAAACAAGGTGACCCTATTGCCAAAGACTCCACACACTTTGGTTGTTGAAAATTGTTGGGGACCCCTGTTGTGTAAAGTAGCAGTCTCTCCATGTCCGGATAGCCCATGGGCTCGGCTTCATATGCAGAGGCTCCTTTTATCAGCAGGGTGCCTTCCCAGCATCTTTCTGACTCATCTTTTGAAGTAGCCATCACAGAAACATGGCCTCCGGCTCTGAAACTGCCAGGTTTTCCTGTGTGATTTTCAGGCAGTCTGACAGCCTGGCAGGAGCCCACCACCACATGTAAATAGGGCATCCTAAAAGCACCTATCAATTAAGGCTTTTACCACTGCCCCCACAGCAGAGTCACTAAATAAAGGAGCTGTACTGAGCTGAGTTCTGTGTCTTACTGCCTACGATCCAGTCTTCCCAGAGAGAGCTGTCTCTTCGTAAGGCATGGCTCATGGAAACCCTGCTTTCGCCGTTTCTCGCACCTCCCCTCGTGACCTGGTGGCCAACGGGTCCCGAACTTAGAGAGAGAGTGCATGGTGGAAATTGAAATGGAACCCGACCGGGCAGCTGACCGGTTCTAGAGCCACCAGCTCCGGTAGCAGAGACCCACAGCAATGCGGTGCGCGACCCGCCGCACCTCGGCGCCCGCAGGAGACCAGCGCCACGCCCAGCAGCTGGCCCCCCGAGATCCCCGCACCCCATAGAAAATGGAGAAATCAAGCTGGAACTTCACTGGAAGCTTCCATCCTACTGGCTTTCACAATACTGGATTCAGGCTACTGGAGGGAAAATTCAGAAACAGTCTTATGTAGCTGTAAACATTACAAACTACAATACCAACCTTCCAGGCAAGATGAGACCACTGGTGCAATAGTAGCATGACTATTATGGGGATAAGCAACCACTTTCTGACTGGATTTGAGGCCTGTAACCTGGTCAAAAGCCTGAGGCTGGGGAGGTCATAGGCCCTAAGTGGAACCTATTACTGCTGTTTTCTAAGTACATGTGATGTCAAACTTCTTTGTAAACATGTACTAATATGCTTATACACATAGATTACAACTGGTCTCAGCCTCGGTCATAGAAGCGTCTATTTACAGTGGGCAAAGAGACTCATAACTGGTCAAAGTGCTGAGAACAGGTGACAGTTAAATGATCAGCCTAAACAGACCATCCATATCATCCCCTCCAAAGCTCCAGGAACAGCGTAGAAGTAGGGAAGAGAAGAGGAATGTAAGAGTCAAAGGAAGGAGTCGTGTGAAACGCTGCCATTACACTGGAACTCACTGCAGCTGTGGTTACCTGCACAAGATGGGGCCCATCAATTCTGTCATGGATGAGGAAACAGCTCATGAGTTACCACCCCTCCCTGAGGAGCTACTGAAAGTTAATAGTTGCTCAGGAGGTAATCATTTTCTTTGCGTATGGACACATGCTCCAGTAAATAACCCCTCACTGATGCTCATGTAAGCAACCCTAATTAAATTCAGTAGGTCACAAAAATAGCAAAACCAAACAAAAGGAAGAGACATGAAAATAAGAGGGGGCCTGTTGGGAAGTAGGGGTTCAGTGGGAATGGGAAAGGGATGAAAGAGGTAATAAGGGGCAAAAACAGCCAAAATACTTACATACATATATGTATTTGAAACTGTCAAAGATTAAGTTTTAAAAGTGTCTTAAAATATACTGGAAGTATGACACAAATAAAACTGAAATATTAAAGAAACAACTACAACCCTAATTATGAAAAAGAGACCACAGAGGAGGCAGGGCAGGTGGATTTCTGTGAGATCCAGGCCAGTCAAGGTTACAAAGCCAGACCCTGTCTCAAAGAAAGGGAGGGAGGCAGGGGAGGGAAGAAAGAAAGGAAGGAGGGAGCGAGGGAGGAAGAGAAACTACCATGAACCCCAACAAACTAGGCCAGTGAGATGGCTCAGTGATAAAGGCAGTTAGTTGCTACCAAGCCTGACAACCTGAGTTCAATCCCTATAACCCAAATAGTAGGAAAGAACCAATTTCCCCAAGTTGTCCTCTGACCTCCAAATGAGTATTGTGGCACATACACACAAATAAATAAACAAATGTAATTAAAATTTAAAAACGAGCTGGGCATGGTGGCACACACCTTTAATCCCAGCACTCAGGAGGCAGAGGCAGGCGGATCTCTGTGAGTTCGA